AAGCATCCTCATTCATCCTGATATTTTTTGTGAAATGTAAGTCTTTTAATCTCAAAACTACTGTTGTGGTCTTTCTTCTATGCACTGAGTTATGACATTTTGTGAAAAATCTATACGTGATGGAGAAAAATGCATATCATTTTTGGATCCAGTGTACAGGAATTACTGTAGAACATGTAAAAATTTCAAGACAAAAAAGCATCGCAGGCCTGTGTTATTAATGTGACAAGGACAATCACAGGGGTAAGTAAAAACCTGTAGAAGTCCCAGTTGTAATAAACTAAATTAAACAGGCCAACATTTGGGTCAAATGCAACGTTTCCACCAAGCAGTCCAAACATGGCCAATTTTGACACCAGAAAAATCATAAAAACACAGAAAAATTGAAAACTGTCTATATTACTGCTTGTAGAAAAGTATATTTGTACAAAATTCCATGTAAAATTATCAAAACAAGGCTAAGTAATTGACCAAAGTCCCTAAAATTAGGTGTTTATCTAACCTTTGACTTCCCCCTAAAATGACTAAAAATGGGAATATCCCATACTTCTGTACATATATGTATGGGACCTGTAAAAAAGTATCTTTCTACCAAATTCCATGTAAAATGGCTGAAATACAGCAGAGTAATTGTCAAAAAACCCTAAAATTATGCTTTTTGTGGCATCTCAACCCCCTATAATTACATATTTATTCTTTACTTATTATTATAAAAGTAACTAAACTCTAAAAAGACGACTCTTTTTAAGTTATTTAAGACTATATTAGGTAAAATAAGTAATAAGAATAATATAATTAAAAGGGTTCACAAGGCACGCATGTAAGCAGCTCGTGGGTAATTTAATTCGATAGCGTAACGTGAGCTGCACATTCCCCGAGTGATTTACTACTTATAATGGTGCAGATAGAAGTTAGATACAGTTCAAAGGGCAATAAAACAATAAAATTTAATTATAAATAGAAGTATACTGTTACAAACTTATCGCTTATTAGGATAAATGGATGTAGTTTCATGTTATAAGTTGAAGTCATTCTAGAAAGAAAAAAAGGGTGATTTAGGTTTATTTCGTTTTTATTTTGGTGGTTACAAGGTCGGTCAAATTGACCAATACCATTTTGAGATAGGGTAGAGAACATAACACATAAACTATAAGGCTTTACTGAGAAAAAAACGTTTGAAATGCATTTAGGAGGTATTGGGAATTACACAAAGGAAATTTGAGATTTTTGAGAAGAGGAAAAGTATTTTAATTTTAACATGAAAATTACTTTGCACACGGACTATTCAAAACAAATACTCAATATATTCATGGACAAATCTTTATTGTATTTTATTAAAAATACTTCACTAAAAAATATGATTTTTTTGAATGTGAAAGACTTATAATACAAACTAAAAGACTGCCAAACTTTGTGAAGATATACACACTATATTGAAAGTTAAAAGTATTACTTAAGACTTTAAGTAATCGTGTGTTATAAATAAGAAATTCCCATTTTTAATAACTCGGAAATAAAAGTAATGACATTCTTACTACTTGAAGTAGAATTAGTCCTTGGCTCTAGTACATCATTAAATCTTTATGAAACTAATAAAAGGTGCATATCAATAAGGATTAAACTGAAAATAAGATGGTCAAAAATGATAATGTTGAGTCTTGTTATCACTGTCATTATGATAAGAACATGCAATAATCTGGAAACTTTCTATATAACAGTCTATATAACAAAAAATTTGAATCATTTGCTAAACCATGATTTAGGCCACCATTAACTTCAGTCTACATACAAACCTTTGTTGTAAGTATTGTTTTAGGACATAAAATTAAGTGTTCAGCCATAAATCTTACACATTTCATTGTTGGCAAATCCTTGTATACAGATTTGGTTGTTATCGAAAAGCTTTGTGAAAATACAGCACACCATAAAAATGCATTAATCTATTATGAAACTATCATAAAATGATTAAAGAAAGGATTCTTGAACAATACCTTGAATGAAGCAAGGTGTAATGTCTGGAGGGTATCATCCAGTTGAGAAAGCTTAGAATAGGTTTGAAGAACAGTTTTGTCCACTGGGTTCTTCTGCAATGTTTCTAACTGCTTAGCAATAATGAATGTTTGTAATGGACCAAGGTGACCATCATTCATTGTACTGTCACTGTTTAACCTCTCCAAGATGGGCTTCAGAACAGGGCTTTTGTGCTTGAGAAAACCTAGTCGATGGAGTCTAGGAAGCTGAGACAAAAGAACCTGGACTGGAAGTCTATGAATCAGGCAAAGCCAAATCTAATCCATAAAAGAAATCATAAGAAAAATATGGGACCTTCAAATATCATGAAAAATGTGTAAAAAAACTTGAATGCTTATCTTACTTTGAATTTGATATAATCATTTTATGAAATACAAAACAGGGTACTAAAAGGAATTCATGGATGTCACTGGTATTACCCAGGTGAAAATATCAGCAGTTATATGCTTTATGTTTAAGTGCACAACTTCCTTGTTTCTATATAATTGGGGTAAAATTTAAATTGATCATACCAAATAATAGAATGGGATTTACCCACTAATATTTAACAATAAAGTGAAAAAATGCAAATCAAATACTAATTGAGTATGGTCTATCAGATGTGATTATGCTGGTGGTCTCCAGTTCACAACCAAATAATTTATATTTACACAAATAGTAAGTAGAAAAATCAGAAATCTGTTAGAGCACTACCTTCAGTACACTAACATTTGGAAGACAACAATACTGATAATGCTACAGTCACCTGAGATTTCAATACTGTGAATGTGTACAAGCCCATAATGGCAATGACAGACACTACTGGTGATGAGTACATTTGAATATTTCAATATCATGCACAAAGTTTCAAAATTGTGCCCACATGCACACTCACACATATATATATATCATGATAAAATAAATATAATTGAAATATTACACAGTATCAAAAATGTCTGGTTTAGATAATTTGTTCTTTTTGGAAAAGCATGCATATTTAGTTTCATTTTTGTAAGTTGTAGTATAAAACGTATCTCCTTGTTTCAGTTGATGAAATCCAAACAATGACCAACTGAGAAATGCATTGTGGATGTCATTAAAATTTTCTCTTAATTCTTAATACAATGATAAGAGAAAATGTCACTAGGAGATATTACAAAATTATTTCTAATTTATTTAATGAAAAAAAGTATAAAATCATGAAAATCAAACATTAAGTATCTTATATGACTAATGAAATCTCAGCAGTAGTTTGTAGGGTGTACAGGGCAAACCTCTTTTTGTAAATTAGAAGAGTTTCATTAATTCTTAACGATATCTTGTTCTCTGCATATTCACTGATTTTAAACATCTTTTAGACACTATGACTTGATTAACAAATATCACTAATCACCTAGCTCTATTTAAAATAATATTCAAACTGCTGACATACATAACACATAGCAATTTACAAAAAAACAACCCCAGGAAACCCAACTTCTCACATTCTTCAAAGAAAAAAGTCCATTTATCATCATTCTTTGCTTTATAACAAAAAGCTGGCTTTCCTACTCACTTTTAAAAATTCCTATTATTCTATTATATTTCAACTTGCAATCTGGGAGATGTATTTATGGTGATGCATGAGCTAGTTCTAGGACTTAGGCAAGACTACTTGAATGATGCCATGCTTTCTTTCTATCTTTAATTTTATTTTTGTCTTTGCATCTTTCATATAACCCTTTCAGCCAATACCTCATGTTGTTTTTACATGGACAAAAGACATCACTAAACTTTAAACAATTCTGTCTCATTTTCCCTCTCAAATCACCTACAAAATAGAACTATAACTGAAATGTTCAGATTTAGTTTTGTTTTGATGTATATTTTCTTAACATTCATTTTGGATAAAATAATAAAATCTAAACTACTAACATTAATTTAGATTTTCACTTCTTAACAACTGCAACTTTTATTTAACGAATAGAAATATTTAAACTTTCTGCCTGCTTAGATAAAACATTTAAAAATACGAAAGAAAACTGTAGATCGGTGGTCTTTATAAGCATTTTTGCTTATTTCTAGCTCAAGTGAGTTTTAAACAGCAAATTTTTGAAGTTAGTGGTGACATAACTAAAATTCAACTCTTTTGTTTTACAGATTTGAAGCTTCAAAACTTATCAAAATCAAAAATACATCATCTGAAAACTGGGATTGTTTTCTTCCTTGCAATCAGTTTACCATAAAGCTACCTGGATTGTAGAATTTTAAATCCTCGTTTTGATGTCAGGAACCTTTCACTATCACACACCTTCAATTCATCCAAATATATCATGTTTTGTTTTTTTTATGTTACATAATAAATCAATCCTATTAGTACCCCTGGTTTGTTTGTCCAGTTTGTTTCAGTTATTACTTTGTAGTCTATTTTCACTTTATGAAACTCCTGCTTGTAATTTGAAACTAATGGTACATTAAGGTGGACTTCATCCCAGCATGAGCTCAGAAATTGGTAGGGGTGTTTTTGAAGCAGCTGTACATAATTTATAAAAAGATTACAGAAGTAACTTTAATAAAAAAAAATGTATAATAAGATAAATACTACCTATTTACATTAGTGTTAACAATACTTATTTTATTCAAAATTGCTTTAAAGAAAATGAGTTTGCACATAACTTCATTACACGAACAACTGTATTTTGCTAACAAGCATGTGTAAAACCTAGTTTTAACTCTTTCTTGGCAGGTTTATGCAATTTGTGGAAATAGAGTCACAAATTTTGCTTGTACAACAATACATGCGGTAACTCTGAGATTTCTTAGCATATCCTCTCAACAACTGGTAAGATTTAATTAAAGATTATAAGTATCTTGTACACAAATAATGACAGTTTTATAATTACATGTTTTTACTAAAAATAGTTATTTTTCTATTGTAGTTACTCGTATTCAAACTATTAACAAATCAATAGCAAGGCGATTTTCAATTTAAGTATAAAAATACTTTTCTTCATATTGCAGTTTTCATATTTTATATGCATAATCTCTAGAACCTCCTAAAAGGATATCAAAAGTTTTTTTAAGGTAAATGTTTATATTATATTTTTCATTTTCTCTACCATATCACTAACTCTAGCTATTATCATCAAAGTACAATGCAACGAAATATTTAAAATTAGAAAAAAAACATGCCTTTTAATTTTTTGTAGAATATCTTTAAAGATTTTCCTTTTGTTAAATTTGTAATTTCAGCTCTTTTTTCCTTTTCACATGTAGTTAATTTTTAATGTTTTACTTTCCTTTCTTGTCATATACCACTTATTATTCATCTCACACAAGTCAACGGTGCCCTTCGAAAGCATATTACAGTTTCTTTGGGAGACACGCGCAACCCTTCTGTAAATTTTTTGTTCCACACAAAATATCCTAAGCCTTGAGAAGAGAAGCAAAGTATGATGTACATTAAAAAATTTCTTTAATATTTTAATTATGCATTTTTAACCATAACTAATACATAATTACCTAAAATATAATAGTAAGACTTAAAATACAATTAAACTGTATCTCTAACAATAACATATTAAGGTAAGAAACAACCACGTTTTAGTCCATCAAGCAGCCAACCATACAACAGCCAATTTCAAAATAACCATTGTTAGTTTATAATATAAAATGACCTCCTTCTAATGTCTACACACATTATGTACACATCTACATGGAAGCTATAAAGCTGAAACATATCTGTTGAAGGTGGGTGTGGCAGCTGTCAAGGGTTGAAAAAAATTATTGCTTGTTTCAACTCTGTTTCCTTCAGAGAACTCTGAAATGAACAAGTCAAAAGGTTGTCTACTCATCTCATTGTTCAAACATATCTCTACAGTACTACCATTGTATTACTGAAGATACAGAGTGCTAAAGTAGAGAATTTTCATAGGTCAAGTAGTCTTTTAAAGGTATATTTTGAAATAAAGGACTTAAAACTTGGATAAAATAAAACCTCAAATCATAACACACATTAACACACAGTATTAATTTCATTTACACACATTGATATCAAAGGTGTTTAATTAAATTTTGAATGTAATACACTGACTTGTGCAGAAAAGCATTTAAAGCAAAAGGGTTAAGGTCAACAGTTATAGGTGTGTTGTGTAATGGTTTTGTATAGAGTCATGTCTCTTAGTGGTTTATATTTCATTATAAGTAGCAAATATACCAGAAAAAAAAAACTTGCTGGGTCTTAAAAACACTCAATGGTCGTCATGCTTTATTTTTGAAGTGTCTGTGTTTCAGGTTTAGTTTTATTTTTGGGTTATTTATTTTTCTGAATGCAAATGCAGAAGTGGCCCAGATAATACCATTTGGCTGGAAAGAGTTAACCCTCAAATTACTGATATATTTATATAAAGTTCACTGTTAGTGAGGTCCATAATGCAACACATTAAACAATTTTATGTTTTTGCTTGTTAAAACACTCGGTGTAAAGAACGGATAAAAAAAAAAGAGAGGATGAAGTCATTCACTTTCTATCTAAAATACATAGGTAACACCCACAGCTACTTATGGGATTACATGCAATATTGATGCCATTTTTGGTTAACCTTTTGTATGACTTGTATGTATTACAGGCCACATCAGGCTCTCAAAAGCTTAATTCATGGCCACACTTAACTATAACCATATATTGCAAAACTGTATTTGGGGAATGATGTTTATCCTGAAAAGTCATGGGCCGATAAGCAACTGGTTTTAAAATAATTTCGAAAAATGTGTTTAAAAAGCCAACAAGTTAACCAGCAACATAATGACTGCAGTTGTGTATGACCATGTTACTTTCATTTTTCTTGCTGTATGTATGAATACTCTAAAAAATAGTAATTGCAGTATAAGAAAAGTTTCCTGTTCTTTGTTGTTCAAATGAAACAAGTGATTATTAACTTTACATTTTAGTTAGAATAACCTTTTTTTTTAACATTCTGACATAAACTTTATCAAGAGTTTTTGGAAACATGTGCCTCTTGGAATAAGTAAATGCTAATATTTTTACCTCTTTGGACTTAAGCATTGGGGTTGGTATGTGTTCAAAATTTAGATCATGCATCTCAATTAAACGAGCAGCCTTCTGTTCATCAGCAGTGTGCTTCAGCTCATGAACAGCCTTCAGATACTCCAATACATCCTTGACTTGTGGCGAGGCATCAGCTACACCAAACTCTTTTTCAGCAGCTTCATATCCGTGAGTAATATATTTGTATAGGGCAGCCAAACCTAAAAAACGTGACATATAAAATTCAAAATTAAAGGTTCTTTACTGATGGATAACAGCAAACTGGTGAAACATACTCAAATCATTTTAAATTACAATTTTTTAAAATTAACTTACACTATAGATATATATAACATATATATTTTTTAAATACTAATACCAAATATATTCAATGAAGTATAATTTCATTACTGTTTTTAATTACAACATCTGGCTTATAATGTTCAAAATTATTGTAACAAATTAGATACAGAAAATTTGGAAAACACAGGCTAGACTTAGTTAAGACAGCCTTATTTCTCTAACAGAGTGATTAGCTTGTTGAATGAATTGCTGTCCACAGTAATATAGGTTGGCACCTCTTAAGAGTTTAAGAGGGGCATCGATGATTTCCTGAAAAATAAAAGGTGGGTTTTATATTTTTTTACTTTTCCTCACAGGTGAGTATGTAAAGAAAGCCTTAAAGAATCAAATGGTCCATTGTTGTCCATAAATTATTTAAATAATCAATATTTAGTTGGTCCTCTCCTCTGGTCTTAATATATGAAGGCATCAATAAATCATATATTTCATTAGTTTAATGAGACTATTAAATGGTATTTCCTACAAATTTTGTTTTTTCCCTTCACAAAATTATTTTTCAAGTTGTATCATAATGTTTCAATTGGATTAACAACAGAATTTTGGGATGACCATTTGATTATATTTATATTACCAGCTCTTTTCTTCTCCTTTAACTACCTCGCATTCATCAGGACAGTATATTCTGGATCATTATCCTACCAAAGTTTAAACCAAAACTAATCAAATCTTGTCCAATCATACTGAACAATGGACTAGGTTCTTGTGATACTACCCCTTCTTCATAACACCATCATCATAGGCTTTTAATAGTATCTCCTAGTCTTGTTTAATGATAAAACATGATATTGTGTTCTTTTTTACAATCATTTTCCAATAATATAATCTTCACATATTATATTAGGTACAAATAATAATTTTAAAGTCACATAAATGCCCCAACATTATTAGAAATAATCTAACTTCAAATAAACCTGCACTGAAAGAGTAAAGCAAGGTGTTTAAATTTTACCTTACCAATCATGTGCAAAAATGGGTGAAACTTGAATAAATGCAAATACAAGAATCACTGAACATAAAAGGTGTTAAAAGTGACAACACAAACAATGCATTTTTTCCAAACATGAGCAATTTTGACCAAAGTGATTAGGAAAAAAAAAAAAGACTAAAACAATAAGTGAAACAGAATATTAGATAGAGAGAACTGTGAGTTAATTTATCAAAAGCTTGCCAAATTTTAACGCTTCTAATAGTCACTTCAAATTGAACTGTCTCCTGATCACCTATGTCCTAAGGGAAATTGAGGTCTACTATCAACTGAGTTATATTGACTAGTTTCTTTTCAGAAAATAGCCAAAATAAAGAGATCACGTGAATATGTCAATAAATTAGCATTCCTGCAAATCATTTGAAAGAACATAGTTTGTTCCATAACTTTTTTTTCCAATTTTAACTATTAAACACACATTCTTTGGATTTTTTTTACTACTGTTTTTTCTTCAAAAACTCTACATAAAACATTCACCTTATGATATACTAATTTAAACCCAATCTTTTAAACTAAAAACTTACTTTTTTCCCCTTTTTAACAACCATATGGATTATTCTGTTAAAATGATATTAACCCTATAATTACCAATGACAACATTTTGCAAAACTACTTATAAGCCAAACTGCTTGTGGTTTTGCGACTTTGTTGGTTACAAAGCCCTTAATAATATATAAATTACACAAAAATATTTAAACAAGGATATCATAAATATTGAAATTAGTCCCCTTAATTACTGATGGCTTCCTTACGTACTTTCCACAGGAAATGTGTAATTTCATTCAATGTTTTTGGTCAATTCTACCCACTGTTTGATAGGTAAAAACAAATATTAATATGATGCAATATATGGACCTTACTGGTAATGAAGGGTATAAATATAAAGCCAGTATTTCAAAAGCATGTTCCTTATACTGTGTTTAAGTATGCCATCAATACGTGTTGTTTATATTTTATAAATGTGCAAGTTAAAAAAAAAACTTCTAGGATTTTCTTTTAAGTGTATTTATACAATGTATTCAGTTTGTGAACTGAGATTCCTATAGACTTCTCCAAAAAACAAACAGTAGAAGTCACAAGAAAATTCAATTCACATCTTTTTGATATGATTTCTTTAAATAAGAATGCAATTACTGGCATTGAATTTTTATGAGCCGTGTCTACCTAAGGTTAAGGAGTGGATGAAGTTTCAGTCTGAGATATAAGTACAGAAGTCAAAGCATTGTCTGTTTTGAAACTCCAGGCAGATACAGTCCATAAAAGATTCAATGCATTTACAATGTAATTTATTGCTAAGCTGTCTCAAAAATAAAAATATCACACAAAGTAAAAAAAATCTGTGTCTCAGCTACACTGAGATTACCAATTTTATTCTATTGAATAAAACTAAGTTTAAGCACAATTTATTCTCCTACATTAGTAATGGTTTATAACAGAAAAATAGTATCAAGCCTCAGTGTTTTACAGAAGAAACTATAATATTATGATCATGATTTACATTTAGATTTTCAGTGTTTCCAAATTCTCTTATTTGTATGCAAAAACTTTAGTTTTTACCAAACTTTCACTTTTAACGTTTTGTTATAAACACAAATATTCATGTCTTTCCTGCTTCTATCACTTAACATCTTCCTCCTTTATATGTTTTGCTCTTCTTTGTCAGTACTTTCCATTGACAAATTGAGTTTGAAAAAAATGTTAACTGTTCCTTTTTTTTTCTTGAACTGTCTATTTCCTATGTTGTTTGGATGACAATTAGTGAATACAGCTTTTGTACATATATATATCATGATTTAAACAACTCTTCTGGTACATTTTGTTAATACATAAGTTATTCAAACAATGTATTGTACTCTTGTGAGCTTAACTGGTAATTTTCAGTCTTGAGAATATGAGGCTAAAAGAAAAATTAGGTTTTGTCTTCCTTCAACTGATCAAATGACTTATGAGGTACTCAAATCTTTTGTTAAATTAAATAAAAATAAGTATTATTTTTTTTATTTAAAGCAAGAGGTTCCAGTTTTGTTTTGTTCAGTTTTCTAATCAGTTCTCCCCACTTCCAGTAGTATTCATAACATGGCATCTCTTCTTGTTTGAGCAAACAATGTGACAAAATCAGATGAAAATTACAATTAATACTCTTCACTAGAACTGAATATAAGTTAAGGTAAGGTAGTGTCAAAATATTTGAAGTTGTAGAGAGGAAATAGGACTGTTAAAGTTGCTTTACAATTTGTTTAAATAGAAAATGTGTGCCCAAATAGTTTGCTAGAAAGTTGAATATGACAGTGATAACACAGGAAAATGTTTTATCATCCATATGAATTTATATTATTAACAGTTCCAAGCAAAGTTCTTGCTTTAGATCAAACATATTTCTATATTCTTTGGTTAATCCTGGTATTTACCTTTCTTCACTACCCCTGGTGTACAACTGATAGCGAGTTTCTGAGTAAACTGTTTTTCTCCTGTAAGAATCACACTTTTCCTTGCTTTATTGTTATGGCTCAACATCAGTTTCTTCAAAATGATAAAATAAGGAATAAGAAAGTTTTGTGTTGGAATGTCTTGTAATGTAATCCTTACAGAAAGACTTAAATTTTAAAGTGTCATTTCCTCTTCCAAATTGTCATGCTTTGATGAAATTGCTACTATAATGCAAGAGCTTTTAATTTGAGTAGTTTGTAGTCACAGTGATGGCCAGAAGCAAGATGACTGAGCATGTATACTGTCACCAAGGGTTGTGTACAATCCTCCCAGTACATTGTATAAAGTTATATGAAAGCATTATAGTTCCATTCAGTTATAAATGACAAAATGTCTTTGATCAAAAAACCTAAAATATATTACTATTACTTTCAATACTAAGTCAATTTCTCTCCATTTGAACATTCTCTTCAGGGTTATCTTCTTCAGCAGAATCACCATGATAGGAATATCTGTAATTTCAAATGAAGCAAGTCACATGGTTTAACCAATTCTCAAGACATATTCAAAGAGACACAGCACCATGAGACAGAATAATGTAAACTGCATTGAAAACAGTGCTGATTCATAAAACATATCTTTTCCTGATATTTGTGCAAAATTAAAGAAGATATCTGAAGTATTTTGGAGATGAAGTTTTAACAAGTATAATAAGGAACATTATTACATAGTCTAATTTCCTTGAAAATGCTTATTGAATATCAGTATTAAAAATACATGGATACAAGTATACAGCTTACCATCAAAACATATTACATTTTCTTC